CCGCCGCTGGGTTCTGACTTGCCATGGGAACATATCACCACCAGGGGGCGGTACTTGCTAAGGAACAAATACCAGGCTGGGCTCCGTGCCTTCCCTTGGGAAACTGGGTGAATGTGGTCACGAGTCACAAACTCCCAGTTATAAGACAAATCAGCACTTGGGAGCTATGTACAGCATGACGACTATAATTAACAGTACTGTATGGTGTATTTGAAAGTTGCTTAAAACAAGTAAATCTTGAAAGTTCTCATCACAAACACAGTGAAGCGACCCGTGTTAACTCATTGTGCTAATCCTCGTGCTGTATGAATGTATTTTAAGTCTTTGTGCTGTACGCCTTAAACTGAAAGTGTTGTATGTCACTTATAAAACTGGAAGACAACAGAGACTCCCTGCCTCCATAGACGTGTCTCCGTGGCCTGAATTTTATATTCCCAACGGCTCAGGGAGTGTAATTATCTTTGGTTTTAAAATAAGAAATGCAGGGGCACCTGGGTGGCTCAGTCGGTTGAGCATCCAACTTCAGCTCAAGACGTGATCTCAAGGTTTGTGGGTTCGAGCCCCCCACTGGGTTCTGTGCTGACAGCCCAGAGCCTGGAGCCTGCTTCCCATTCTGCGTGGCCCTCTCTTTGCCCCTCCTCTGCTCACTCTCTCTCTCTCTCTCTCTCTCTCAAAAATAAACATAAAAAAAATTAAAATAAGAAATGGGAGGGGTGGAGAGGGGAAGAAATGTAAGTAAGCGGTAGAGCTTTGATAATGCCAGTCAAATTTTACTAGGCCACTTCTCATTTAAGATACAATTTCAAACTATGAAATATAGATACACATGTATGTATGATGTGTGTGTCTTTTGCTTTCTCCTTAAACTTGCATGCAATTACTCTCTTGAAAGATCTTTGTTTTATCAGTCCCTTTAGACTTGAACCCCATCTAGTTGCCTTCAGAACATTTTAGAGCCATATTTGAACAAAACCTCAGAACATAAATTTAAGCAAGTTGAATCCTATATATGTCACATTGGGAGGATAATTGGAAGTCACAAGTATCACAGAAATTAACTTGGAAGGATGTTAGTAACGGTAATGTCCAACAGGTGTTGAACATATGCCAATCAATCAGGTTTATTAATTCTTGCAACCTACTCCTTCAATAGGCACATAATAATCTTTATTTTCCAGAAGAGGAAATGCAGGTTTGGAGAACCTGGGAGAGCTACCCACAGTAGATCAAGAACTCCCCCAAAATATTTCCTTACACTAAATCTCCTTTCTCACCTCCTTCTTTACCAACTTTCTCCCCAAGTCTTAGCCTCACTCTCTGGGTCTCTCTCCCAAACAAAAAGAGTCATCAGGTCTGCGGCAGTAACTATCAAAGGTCGGCCTAGATAGAACATCTTGTTGTGTCAGAAAGCAAGAAAATACTCAAAGACAGGCAGAAACATGCTCAAAGGGCACAGGATCCAGCTTGACAAGGGTTTTCATTGTACAAATTTAGGACCGTTTAAAAGAATACTGATAAAGGAGTCTAACATTATTGTATATGTTAAAAATCCAGTTCATAGCGATACTAAAAAATAAATGGGAGCAGAGAGGAAGTTTTCTTTACAAAATCCAGAGGGTGGAACAACAGAATGGGGAAAAATCACCACTCTGCATCTACCAGTGTAATCATTGTTTCAGAAATGAGTCACCTGTGGATGCTAACAGCATTGGGGAACATTTTTCCAAGATCAAGATATTCTCCTGGTGTCTATCACCCCAGAGGTTATCCCCCAAAGGGATAAAGGAAATTTCAATGGAGAAATCTACTGCACACCACCTTACCAAAGTGGTCAAAATTATCATCACCCAAAATGGGACCATCTCAGACACTATTTATGCCTCCTGGTTGTGATATAAACATCACCCATGTAGTATAAATGTCTAACCTGATTCTAAAGAACCGCGAGGAAAAGAAATCAGATATATCCAGAAAATGACACATTCTACAAAACAACTGGCCTAAGCTCTTCAAAAATATCGGTTCCACGACAGATGAACCAAAAAAGTTCGGGAGCTGTTCTAAATTAAGGAAGCCTAAAGAGATAGGCAATGACTGGCCATGTATGATCCTTGCTCGGGTTTGGGATTTGAAAGAAAAAAATTCCGAGGACATTAGTATGACAAATTTGAATATGAACTGTATAGTAAATATTATTGTATCAATGTTGTATTTCTTGGATTTGATAACAGAATTATGGTCATGAAGGAGGAAATCCATGTTCGTAGGATGGGGGAATATTTAGGAGTAAGTATCCTCCTGCCTATAACTAATTCTCTAATGGCTCAGTAAAAATGGAGGGCTTTATATCTGGAGAGGAAGCAAGAGAAATTCAGCAAATGTGGCAAAATGTCAACACCTGATGAGGCTAAGTGAGGTGCTGATCACATATTACTTTTTCGAGTGTATTCTGAAATTTTTCAAAATGAAAAGTTGGGGGAATAAACCACAGTTTTCAACCACAGAAGTTTGCTCACATTGCAATGCTACAGGCCAGCTGTGGTCCAGCAATTTCATTCCGGAATCCAAACGGCCCCCCGGCCACCCCCCACCAGCCTGGGACCAGCCTGGGACCAGCCTGGTTACCTGGCGGAGGGAAGGGAGAGTTTGGTCTGCTCAGTGCACTGGTTCTTGAAATCTTCTCAGGCTCACTAGCTCTCGGCCTCATGGTCCCCTAGCCCCAGCAATTTCAATGGCCAAGCCCAGTGGCAATCCAGTGGGCAGTGTATGCCTTCTTGGGATCTGGCGAATGAGGTTATCGAATTCAAGGAGAAAGATAACTCACTGACATCTAGAATCCAATAGCTCGGTTACCCACCCAAGACTGGTTATTTTCCCAAGATCACTAGCTGATAAGGGACTCCAGCTCAGATCCATCTCCAAAAGTCATGCTTTGTTTTTCTCTCAAATTCATGTATTTTTTTAATGAAAACATTTGATTTTACATTTTCAAATTGTTACACATTTATTTGCTTGAAAACTCAAGAAAATATGTAAGGTATACCTTGAAAAGTTTCTCTCCCAGTTCTTATCCCCATTCATCCCCAAAACCTCACACAGGCTATCACTGTTACTAATTTTTTGTGTATCCTTGAGAGTTCTGGGTGCCTCTATCAGCTAACCCAAATGTATAAACTTATTTCCTCCCCCTTTACGACCTAAAATGTAACATACCAAACACATAGTTCTTTGCCTTGCAAAGCTGTGCTTTGAATCAACGTCAATCTGTTCGTATGGTTCTCTTGAGGATGGGCACCAAGACAGAGTTAAATATGCAAAGATTTCGTTTGGGCTCCATACCAGTGAGAGAAGAGGGGAAGACTGGCTCCACATGAAATCGAAGGGAAAGGAAGAGACAATGGAGGTATTCCTGACCGCCCCCCCTGCCAAGCAGGATAAGGAAGCCTGGTCAAGACCAAGAAAGGAGGGGGGACTCCTTAAGCCCAAGCCTACCACTAGAGGGCTCCCAGTCTCCCTGGGGCAGGCCGGCCACACTCAGCCTCCCGGCTGGGAGCAGCAGGTGGGAGGTGTGCCCTCAGAGCAAACATGGTGGATTTCAGAGTTCAGTGTCTGGGGCTCTCGGTCATGACACCCCCCTGTAATTAGACATCTATGAAGCACTCAAAACGAGCTGTATTTAAGAAATCAAATAATTAAAGAAGCACTTGCTATGCATTTTACACTTACTACATAATAATCACACACAAACATTTCTGTCAATGATCTCATAGCAGGGCTCAACACCCTCCACATCCACGTGGCCTGAAAGGTACAGACAAACACACAACTCCTGAGATTATAAGAACACAGGAAAAATCAGGTGCAACTCAAGGCTTTTCTTTCTGTTAGTGTGATACCATGGGGCAAATTGGTACCTTCACTTTGAGGCAGCAGTGGAGGGAGAGAGAGAGAGAGAGAGAGAGAGAGAGAGAGAGAGAGAGAGAGTATCCATGGGCTTCTGGAGAAATGAAATGCAGTTGAATATAAAAATATACGTATCGCCCACTCCTTCTGCTAGCATTCCTCCTTTAAACTATTCCTTTCTTCCTCACACCACAAGAAAATCCGTTCTTTGTTACTAGTAAACAAGAGATACAAATCACCAAAGTGAAAGGGGTTTTTTTAGGTAATATTTTCTATTTCATTTCACAAATTTGAGTGTGTGTGTGTGTGTGCGCGCGTGCGTGCATGCATGTAAGAATTGTGTTAGGAAAGTACATTTTTTGCTTCTAACCTTCATTAATAAATACCAAGTAATGCTGATTTAAAATGTTAATGATTCAGTAAGTCTTGAGGATGAGACATTGAATCACAAGTTGAAGGGAGTGTATGGATCATTTATTCCACCCACCTCATTTACTAGATGGAGAAGATGATTCACAGAAAGATTGGTATTTGGCTCAAGGTCATACAGAATGCTAGGGTAGCATCTGGGAAAACTGGAAACACCAGGGCATGTGGAAAATGCCAGGACTTCTGAAATTGGCATGTGCTCCTTAAAATGCTCTGAATCATCCCACCCTGCAACAGCCACACCAAACCCTTCATTTCACAGTTCTGGGAACACTGCAAGAATTCTCTTCCCATTTGCTTAGGACTTCAAAGATGTACTAATCCCTCAAACACATGTTAGTATGGATTTTCTTTGATGAAAAGGGACAGATCTATTCTCCAGAATTAAGCTCCTCCTTTCTTCCTCCATCCGGTTTCAGAGTGAGTCCCTTCCAGTTCACTTAGCGTCTTTCAGGATGGCTCCTGAGGGTGAAAATTAGCTAAAGTGATGCTCTTTGGTGACGTGAAATACTTTCCTCCAGAATTCCTCTCCCTAATTATGCATAACTTCTTTTTTTTCCCCACTTTTTATTGTTGTTTTAAACTTTTGACTTTCCCCTGTCTTATTCCTTATTCCTTGGCCATGACACTTGCCTGTCCCTACTCCTCTCCCCACCATCCAATCTTGACCTGCCCTGGGAAGAACACACAAGCTGAGTCCTGAATGCCCCAAAACCACCCACACCCACTGACTAACTCATGAAATGTAGTTACGTGAGGAAGTAAAAGCATGTATTAGATCCCAGATCTCTACTTCTTAGCCCTATGACCTTGGGACAGTTGGACCATAATTTACTTAAACATACTCTCTCTGAAGTACACTCAGGATATTTGAACTATTTTGCTGCAGTGAGCATCTGCTATCTAAAATCTGTGCACTGGTATATTTCTTCAGAAGAGGTTCCTAGCAGTGGAATTGTTTGGTCCAGGGTATATGTGTTTGAAATTTTGATAGGTACTCTGCCAAAATGTCCATCAAAGCCATTAACCAACAAGACAAAGCAGAGATGTGTTTGTTCCAGATGACAGTTGCAGATATTATGGTAGTGGTAAAAGGCTACACTTTCATGCATCTCTGAATTGGTGAATGGGGTCCAAAGTCACACCCTCTCATCTTCCTCCTTTCCCACTTCGTATGCAAGAGCTTTTTAAATGTGGCCTGGCATTTACCTGTTTGAGTCTGGCACTTATCTGTTGGAGTACTCAGAGGAAATGCAAACCCAGAGCCAGTAATTTGTCAATCTCTGTTTCAAAGCGCTGGATTATATCTCTCAATCCTATTATAGATGCTTGTACTACCTAATTGTATATCTGCAATTAGAATGAGTTGTTCTATCCAGACTTTCCTTAGTGTTTTCCTCTAGATTCCCTCTCAAATGTTTTTAATGCTTTTATTGCTGTTTTACATTACACAAACAACATAACGTCTCTATAAAAGTTCAAACCCATAGAGAGCAAAGCATGAGTTGTCCTTCCCAGTCTCGCTGCACCCTATATGTCAATATCTGTCGCTATATCTCAGCCATGCTTAGGTTTTCAGTCCATGATTTGATGCTCAACTGCTCCGCGTACTGACAGTATTCAGGTTGTTCAAATGAATCCCCAAGTAGAAGTGGCAAAGGCAGTGAAATATAGGGACAACTAGAGAAAGAAATAGAAACTCCCTGAACAGTTCTCTGTGACAACTGTGGGAGTATTTTGATAAGTGTTGGCAGCAGGACACTGCATGTGATGTGGGGAAGGAAACCTTGGCATTCAAACAAGCAAATGGTTTGGCGACAGTTTATTAAATTTCTGCAATGCTTGCAAATGCCAGTAACGCTTTCTCAGACCACAGACTTACTACATGTGACAGGTGTGGGAACGTTTCACAATTGTCATCAAATAAATGGCCCTTCAAAATTAAAAAAAGTATACGAGCTCTGAATAATTGTCACCACTGAAACACAAGCCTACTGGAGTTGATATATTTAAACTTGTGTATTTTGGTTGCTTCTGTGCCACAGAATCAGAATCTAAGTAAGCAAAGGCACCCAAGTACAATTGTAACTCAATCCCACTGGTAGGTTTTGGGTCAACTGTTAGACTTTCTTTATACCAAATAAAAGTCCACATTCATTCCTAAATGTATATCTGTAAATGCCTACATTTAAAAAGATTTCAAAGCAATAGCTACCGTTATGCCTTAAGGAACTAGAATAAGAAAGAGCAAACGAAACCCAAAGGCAGCAAAAGGAGGGAAATGAGGAAATTAGAACAGAGATCAATGAAATAGTGAACAGAAAAAACAACAGAGAAAATGAATCCAAAAGTCAGTTATTTGAAAAGATAAACAAAATCAACAAACCTTTAGCTAAGCTGACCAAGAAAAAAGAGAGAAAACACAAATTACTAAAATCAGGAATAAAAGAGGGCACGTTACTCCCAACCTTCTAGTAATAAGTTAGATTTTAAGGAAAGCTATGAACAACTGTATGCCAACAAATCAGATAACTTAGATGAAATGTACAAGTTCCTAGAAAGACACAAACTGCCCAAACTAACTTAAGAAAAAAATTAAAAATCTGAATAGGCCAATAATAAGTAAAGAGATAAAATTAGTAATTTAAAATTTTCTTTACAAACTCTTCCAAAATATTGGAGAGGCAGGAACACTTTTAATTCATGTTATGAGGCCAGAATAATCTGATACCAAAACCAGAAAAATATATCACAAGGAAAAAAAACAAACTGTAGACCAAAGTCCCTTATGAATATAGATGTAAAAAATCTTCAACAAAATACTAGCAAACTGAATCCAGCAATATAAAAGGATTGTATGCCAGGACCAAATTTATCCCAGAAATTCAAGGGTGGTGTAATATATGAATATTAATCAATGTAATACACTATATATAGAATAAATAACAAAAAAAACCACATGATAATCTCAACAGATGCAGAAAAAGCATTTGATGCAATCCAACATGCTTTCTTCATCAATACGCTCAACAAATCAGGAATGGAAGGGAACTTGCTCAACCATCCATAGATAACATCATACATGATGCTAAAAGACTGAATACTTGCCCTTAAGTGAGGAACAAGAAAGAAAAGGATGTCCACTCTTTCACTTCTATTTAACATTGTACTGAATGTCATATCCGGACAATTAGGCATGAAAAGGAAATAAAAGTGCTCACTTCAGCAGCACATATACTAAAATTGGAACAATACAATGAAGATTAGCATGGCCCCTGAACCAGGATTAGACACAAATTCATGAAGCATTCCATTAAAAAAAGAGCAAATAAGTATCCGGATTGAAAAAAAAAAAAAAAAGAAGAAGCAAAACTATCTCTATTTGAAGATGACATGATTTTGTACATAGAAAATCCTAAGGAATCCATTAAAAATGTATTAGAACTAATAAGAGTACAAGAAGGTTGCAGGATACAAGATCAATATACAAAAATCTATGGTATTTCTATAGACTGGCATTGAAAGTTCTGAAAATAAAATTAAGAAAACAATACCATTTACAACAGCATCAAAAAGAGTAAATTATTTAGGTATAAATTTAGCAAAGGAAGCACAAGACTTGTACACTGAAAACTACAAAACATCATTGAAAATAAAGACCTAAAAAAATGGAAAGATATTCTATATTCATGGATCAGAAAACTTAATATTGTCAAGATGGTAATACTCCCCAAACTGATTAAAAGATGCAATATAATTCCTATCAAAATCCCAGTTGGCTTTTGAAAAAATGGACAAGCTGATCGTAAAATTCATATAAAATTGCAAAGAACCCAGAAAAACAAAAAAAAAAACTTAAAAAAATGAAGAATAAAGTTTGAAGAAGCATGCTTCCTGCTTTCAAAATTTAACTATAAAGCTACAGTATTTAAGATGATGTGTCACTGGCTTACAGATAAACATAGAATGATGGAAAAATTGAGAGTCCACAAATGAACCCTTACATTTATGGTCAATTGATTTTTGACAAATGTACTAAGACATAATAGGGAGAGAACAATATCTTCAATATATATTTCTGGGACAACCAGATATCCACATGAAAAGAACAGAGTTTATTTCTGAGATATATTTCCCATATCAGACAACATACACAAAAGTTATATGACTTCTTCACAACATATACACAAAGTTAATTCAATGGATTATAAACCTAAATGAAAGTGCGAAAACTACAAAACTCTTAGAAAAAAATTTAAGAGTAAGCCATTTTGACCTTGAGTTAGGCAGTGGTTTCTTAGATTTAAAAAAAAAAAAAAAAAAGCAGAAGTAAAAATAGAAAAAAATAAATTGCACTACATCAAACTTTCTGCACAAAGCATCAAGAAAGTGATCAGATTTCCACAGAATGGGAAAAAAAATTGCAAATCATATATCCGACAAGAAACTTGTATCCAGAACATATAAAAAACACAACTCAATAACAAAAAAGGGGCAACCAATCTAAATTAAAAGTGGGCAAAACATTTGAATAGACATTTATCAAAGAAGATATGCAAATAGCCAGCAGGCGTGAAAGCGACATCACTAACCATCAGGGAAAGCACATCTAAACCAAGTGAGTTATTACTTCACACCCATTAGGTTGGCGATAATTAAAAAGGCAGTTGTTAACAAGTGCTGATGAGGATATGGAGATACTGGAACCTTCAGGCACTGCTGGTGTGAATGTTAAGTGGTACAGCTGCTTTGAAAAACAGTCTGGCAGTTCCTTGAAATGTTGAATGTACAGTTATCGTGTAACCTAGCAATTCAACTCGTAGGCATATACCAAGAGAAATGAAAACATACATCCAAACAAAAAGCTGTACCTGAATATTCATAGCAGCATTAGCCATAATAGCCAAAAAGTGGAAACAGCCCAAAAGTCCAACAACTAATGGATGAAAACCAAAATGTAGTGAATCCATATGACAGAATATTATTCATCAGTGAAAAGGAATAAAGTACTGATACATGCCACAACATGGATGAGTCTAGAAAACATGTGAAGTAAAGGAAGCCCATCAGAAAAGATGACATAGTGTAGGGTTCAATTTATATTGAGTGTTGAGAACAGGAAACTCTATAGAGACAGACAGTAGGTTAGTGGTTGATTAGGACTGGAGGAAAGGGGTTGAGACTGAGGGCGAATGCAATGGGTACTAGGTTTCTTTTAGGAAAAGACCAAAATGTTCTTTTTAAAAATTTTTTTTGAAGACAAGTATTGTTTATTGAAAATTTGTTTTCTGTTTTATATAGATGTATCTGTGGGTAACAGTTGTGACAGTCAAAGTAAGATGTTCTAAAATTAAATATGGCGATGGTTTCACATCCCTATAAATATACTGAACAACACTGAATTTACACTTTAAATGGGTAGATTGTATAGCATGGGACTTATACCTTAACAAAGCTGTTTTTAAAAAAAAATTCTGACCAGTCTGGCTGGCCTTTTGAAAGGATACCTTATTCCTACTCCCTTGGTCATGACACTTGCCTGCCTCTTCCCAGCAAACTTGACATGCCCCAGAGAGAAGGTAAGCTGGGTCCTGACCACGTAAAGCCACCCCAAATTAGTTGGATACAACCAACGTGAAATGCTGGTGAGATAGCACAGCTCCAGAGATAAGCTGCCTTTGTTCAAATCCCTCCTCTCCACTTTTTAGCCCTTGACTTTTATTAGTTTATTTGCACCTCATCCTTCTAATTAATCATAAAAAATTGGAGCCATTATAATACCTTGTAGCATCTGGGGGCAATTAAAGCAGTTAATACATAGGCATTTAGCACACTAATGGGTATACTCAATGAGATCAGTTTTTGTTACTGGGAGTTGCCTGTTCATACTCTGACCCTTGTGGGTCTAGTTCCAGCCACATTTCGATGATTTCTCACTTTACTTCACATGGAGATAACATCAGTTGCCTTCACTGGGCTCTGTTACATAGCAGAAGGCACCAGGCCTCTTTGCTACGCTGTGGGTGGGCAGCATAGCCATTTGGGCATGGGAGGTAGTTTAGTGCAAATCCATAGTTAAGGAGAATTATGTGTTTTTAATTAGAACATTTTCTGCATCGAGTGTGTAACAACTAAAGGGACACATATTATCTCATTCTTAGAAAAATAATTACACGTAAAATAGATTAGGAGTATAAAGAAATGCACTTAGAAGATAGTGAACATTGAAAGGGCGCCTGGGTGGCTCAGTCATTTAAGCGACCGACTTCAGTTCAGGTCATGATCTCAAGGTTCATGGGTTTGAGCCCAGCATCAGGCTCTGCGCTGAGCTCAGAGCCTGCTTCGGATCCTCTGTCTCCCAATCTCTCTGCCCCTCCCTTGCTTGCTCACACGTGCACATCCTCTCTCTCTCTCTCTCTCTCTCTCTCTCTCAAAAATAAACATTGTTTTTAAAAAAATAGAATGTAGTGCACCTTTAAAACGTTGAAAGAAGGGAGTGTATTTGCAATTCTAGTTTTAAACTTTTGACTTATTTGTAACCTGATTGTGTTTTTTTATTCAACTTAGGTTAATTTTCCTGTTGGTATAAGTCATCTCTGATAATCATCGTGTATTTATTCTCACCCCTTTCCTTTGCAATCTACAGTATTTAGATGCTTTGACAAGCTGGAAAATTCAATTCAGTGTTCTCTTCAATAAAAAATTTCCATCATGTTTGTCAATGAGAATTTGAGAATCCAGGTAGTAATATATAACAGATATCTCAAATGTTGGTAACTGAGTATTTATAAACAGACAGGCTGGCTGACTTTTTTTGTTTTTTACTTGTGACACTTTCATGAGCTTTTATAATAGTTTAGAGCAGTGGTTCTATATCTTCCCTGAGTAGCTTTTTTAGACTTTTTCCTAGTACCCACCCCCATGACATTTTATTTTTAAGATTTTATTTTTAAGTAATTTCCACACCCAATGTGGGGCTCAAATTCACAACCCTGAGATCAAGAGTTGCTCTACAAACTGCTCTACAAACTGAGCCAGCCAGGTGGCCCCCTCCATGACGTTTTAGTGTCACTGATACAGAGTTGACCCTTGAACAACAAGGGGGTTACGGCACCAACCTCTCACGTACTTGAAAATCCACATATAACTTTTAATCCCCCCCAAAACTTAACTCCTAATAGCCTGCTTTCTTTTAAAATTTTTTTAACATTTATTCATTTTTGTTTTCTTTTTAAAAATTTTTTTTAATATATTTTTTTCAACGTTTATTTATTTTTGGGACAGAGAGAGACAGAGCATGAACGGGGGAGGGGCAGAGAGAGAGGGAGACACAGAATCGGAAACAGGCTCCAGGCTGTGAGCCATCAGCCCAGAGCCCGACGCGGGGCTCGAACTCACGGACCGTGAGATCGTGACCTGAGCTGAAGTCAGACGCTTAACCGACTGAGCCACCCAGACGCCCCTTTTTAACATTTATTCATTTTTGAAAGGCAGAGAGAGACAGGGTGCGAATAGGGAGGGGCAGAGAGAGAGGGAGACACAGAAACAGAAGCAGGCTCCAGGTTCCTAGCTACCAGCACAGAGCCCGACGCGGGGCTCGAACTCATGGACCACGAGATCACGACCTGAGCGGAAGTCGGCCACTTAACCAGCTGAGCCATCCAGGTGCCTCATGCTTTTGACCAGAAGCCTATGGATAACACAAACAGTATATTAACACATATTTTGTATGCTGTGTGTATTATATACTGTATTCTTACAAAGCAGTAAGCTAGAGCAAAGAAAATGTTATTGAGAAACCATAAGGAAGAGAAAATACACTTACAGTACTGTATTTACTGGGGAAAAAAATCCATGTATAAGTGAACTCATGCAGTTCAAAGCCCTGCTGTTCCAGGTCAGCTAGACTATATATCTGTTTAAGCTTTTTTACCACCAACAAAAGAATTGTCCCCCCTTGGGGGCAATATTGCACCCATTGAGAATTCATGGCCTAATTCTAGTATTCAAAGTTTACATGGTAAACTTCCTCCTCCTGCCATTTGTTATTTCAGTAGCAAAAATACACTTGAGGGGCACCTGGGTGGCTCAGTCAATTAAGCATCCAACCCTTGATGTCACCTTAGGACTCACAGTTGTGAGATCGAGCCCCACATCTGGCCCCACGCTGACAGTGCAGAGCCTGCTTGAGATCCTCTCTCTCTGCCCCTCCCCTCCCTCATCCCCCCCTCAAAATAAATAAACATTTTTAATTAATTAAAAAAGAAATACATTCGAAAAACACTCGAATATTGCCATGCTAATTCAGTGTGGTCCATGGATCAACAGCATCACCATCACCCAGTAGCTTGTTAGAAATGCAGACTTTCAGCCCCACCTCAGACCTCCTCCATCAGAATCTCATTTGAACATGATCTTCTGTTAATTCAGATGTCCATTAGTCTGAGAAGCACTGGTTTAGACTACAGTCCTCTACTCAGTTAGGAAACATTAAGTTAATGTGTGAATGCAAAGAATATGCCTGGGCCCTGAAACCAGGTTTTAGGTAAGCCACCCCTTCCTTGCAAGTTCTGACTAATACACCAAATTTTTTTGGTCATCAGTATTCTTTTTTTCTTTTTTAGAGAGAGAGAGGTGTGCAAGTGAGTGAGGGGCAGAGAAAGAGAGAGAATCCCAGGAAGGGCAGAGAGAGAGAGAAAGAGAGAGAGAGAGAGAGAGAGAGAGAGAGAGAGAGAAAGAGAGAGAGAGAGAAAGTGTGGCTCACCCGAGGCAGGGCTCGAGTTCACCAGATATGGGACTCGAACTCACGTACCGTGAGATCATGACCTGAGCCAAAGTCAGATGCTTAACAACCGAGCCACCCAGGCCCCCCCATCGATATTATTTTCTTAAACACAGAAATGGGTGTGTTTTGTTTGTTTGAGAAAGGTTAATTTTATGTCCTTCTAAGCAAGTGAAAAATCCCTATGAAGCCTCACCTCGCTGTCCATAAAATGAAGCCTGTTTTGATAATAATAATTTCACTTGGATCAGGTGACAGAAGGAGCCAGTAATAAAGCAAAGAGATTTTTATCTACTTGACTGTTTTAAAGAGCCTGCAAGTTAGCATGAGGATGAGAGGATACCGAGTTAATTCACTTTGGCTCCTTATTTATAAAGATAGAGTTAAGTTTTTCGTTAATTTTGGGGGGGTCTAAGAATGAAATTTTGAAACGTGTGTGAAATAAATGTGAAACATCTCAGTCATACAGAAGACATAGGCTAGCAAATAACCATATACCTACTACCCAGGTGAACAATCTGCCACGTGTAGCTGCTTCCATATTTTTCTGAAACATTTTAATATTTATTCATGAGTTTTACTTAACTAAGACTTTTGAGGTTAACACTAGAGAGAGTTCCACTACCACGAATCTTCCATTGTTATTTCCATCGCGTTTTCTCCGACTACAGGGGATGAGAAAAAAACCCTGGACCTGTCAGACTTGGTCCAAGTACCAGCTGAGTCTTTATTTTTTTATGTTTCCAGAGGAGCCTTCACAGCAGAAAGCCAAGTTCTCTTTAATTCTCCACTATTGACAAAGACCGAGGTCAAGTTAGGCCAAAAGCCAAAGTGCTCCTCGTTGAAAAATGCTGTGGAAGATTAGGCTAAATACCAGCCACTCTTTCTTAATCAAGAAACTCAGCTAACAAGTTGGAGCTTTTAAATGCAGAAGAAAGAGAAGAGAGTATAGAAAAGAGGTAAGAGGAAGATCAGAAGAGAGAAGAAACAACTTCAACTCAACTCAAATGCCACTCAACTCAAAACCCCAACTCAAATGCCCCTCAAAAGGCATCTCTTTCTTCTATCTCCCAATATCCCTTTCTACATCTTGACTTACCAGGATAAAATTAAATATATTTTAGACAGTTCATGAGAGGTGTGGTGTGTGTGTGTGTGTGTGTGTGTGTGTGTGTGTGTGTGTGCGTGCGCGCGCACGTGTGTGTGTGTGTGTGTTTAGTGGCTGGGGGCCAGAAGGGGAGGGGCAGAGAGAGGAGGTCAGAGGTGTGGTGTGTGTGTGTGTGCATGTGTGTGTGTTTAGTGGCTGGGGGCAAGAAGGGGAGGGGCAGAGAGAGGAGGTCAGAGGATCCAAAGCAGGCTCTGGGATGACAGCAGAGAGCCTGAGGCGGGGCTTGAACTCAGGAACCATGAGCCACCCAGGTGCCGGGAAAGTGCCTTTAAAATCACCTACCTCAGCTCTGTGCTGACAGCTCAGGGCCTGGAGCCTGCTTTGGATTCTGTATCTCCCTCTCTCTGCCCGTTCCCTGCTCATGCTCTGTCTCTCTCTACCTCTCAAAAATGAATAAATGTTAAAAAAAATTTTTTTTAATAAAAAAAATAAAATAAAATCACCTGCCTCAGACCCATTTTCTATATATTAGGAACTGAGGTTCCAGAGGCATTAGGTGGCTCATCTAAGAGTGTCTCTAGGAAACAGAGATGTTACTTCTGGAATGACCAGTATATCCTCACTTCTGATTTTCAGTACTCCAGGATGTTTAGTCCCTATCCTAGGAAGGACTGATGAGGATGGCCACTCCCACCACCAGGACTCTAATCCTGCGTGCTGCTTGCTAAACAGCATCTCTCCCCACGGGGCATTTTCAAAGTCTCCACTGTTGCCAGCCATTGTGTTCACTGGCTCCAAGCCAGCAGACAAGCATTTGAACTTCTGCACCTGAGATGATTCCTAGCCCTTCAGGGAACCAACAGCCTGGCTTTCTTTATAGTATTACACTTCCAGGAAAAAAAATATTTTCGCAGAGTGTTCTAATTCGCAGGAGTATTTACATCTATAAGGCACAAGGCAAGCCTTAAAAATTCGGTGAGATGACAGAGTTTTAAAGCCTATCATATGAGAAAATATGCCCTCTCTTGACTTTTCCAAAGAAACATAAACCTTGGCTTACATGGTGGACAGAATGTTGTCACTTACAGTGTTTTTAGTGGCAGAACTAAAGGTTAATTTGAGCTACTTTTCATCAGGGCCAAAAAAAAGCATTCTGGAAAGACTAACACTATCCACCTGGTTTAAAGAGGATGGATCCAAGAACACAGTGAAATTCTTAAATCTTTGGGAGCAAAAAGCCATCATTCTGTTCCTTGTCCACCTCATCCAGTTTTTGCCAGAGCAAGGTACATCAAGTTCATTTGTGTTCTCCAACCCTCTCCCAAAGATCTTAAAGATGAAAGAACACAGTTGACATGCTGGTAGGAAAAGTTGTTTTGAGTATCGAATGCTAAGTATAGCATTAAGAACTTGATTATGCAAAACATTAAAATATGTTCAGGATATAAACACCAAATAAATAATAAACAGTCCGTTTGCTACACGCACTTCTATTTATCTGCCTTATGTTGGAGGACATACTGAACTCCGTACTTCAGAGGAGGGCCTTGAGGGGCGCCTGGGTGGCTCAGTCAGTTGAGCGTCCAACTTCGGCCCAGGTTATGATCTTGCTCTCTGAGAGTTCTAGCCCCACGGCGGGCTCTGCGCTGACAGCTCGGAGCCTGGAGCCTGCTTCGGATTCCGCGTCTCCTTCTCTCTCTGTCCCTCCCCAACTTGTGTGCGCGAGTGTGCTCTCACTCTCTCTCTGTCTCTCTCTCTCCCTCAAAAGTAAATAAACATTAAAAAAAATTCAAAAGAGGGCTTGAGGACTAGGGCTAAAGACAAAGAGCTGCAGTGGCTTCTATCTTTTTCTATCTGTAATTCAAGAAAAATTAACCGAAATACAAAGAATGCTTTCTTTAATTTTTTAAATTTATTTGAGAGAGAGAGAGAGAGAGAGAGCAAATCTCAAGCAGGCTCCATGCTCAGTGTGGAGCCCAACACAGGGTTTGATCCCATGACCCTGGGATTATGACCCGAGCCAAAATCAAGAGGTGGACACTCAACCGACTGAGCCACCCAGGAGCCCCCAAAGAATACTTTTAAGTCATGTTTTTCTTTTTTGGTTCAATGGCAGAAATACTCTCTTGGCAAATAAGCAGGTAAGAGACTCTACTACTAAAAACTCAAATATTGCCATTGTCAGTTTGGCCATGAGCCAAAAACTTCCGAATTTTTTACGCACAACTACGTTGAGGTAACAGACAATAATAATAGCGGGACCCTTGGAGACAGGTACATAAAAATGTGTATCATAGGGGCACCTGGGTGGTTGAGCGTCCGACTTCGGCTCAGATCATGATCTCACGGTTCATGAGTTCAAGCCCCGTGTCAGGCTCTGGGCTGGCAGCTCAGAGCCCGGAGCCTGCTTCGGATTCTGTGTCTCCCTCGCTCTCTGCCCCTCCCCCGCTCACGCTCAGTCTCTCTCGCTCTCAAAAATAAACATTAAAAAAAATTTTTTTAATAAAAAAAAGAATGTGTGTCATACTTTGTGCTGTTAAAAAAATCAAACCCACCTCAAAGTAAACGAAATATGAATCCATCAAATAATTATGAAATCCCTACAATAAATGCAAAGGCGCCATAAGTAATGCTGCCGACTGTTACTCGCAAAGATGGTCACAAGGGCGGAGGTCACATGGCAGTGTTGTAATGGCTTTAGACGCAGGCAGACATGGAACCATCTTTTGTTCTGCCACTGACCAACTGGGTGGCCTGTGTCAATGTTTTGGACCTCACTCCTACCCTCACTTCCTCCAGTGTGCAATCGAAGGAGATAATGAAAATAGAGCACTGGGCAACGAGATGGGCATATGGAGATACTGAAGCTTGAAAGTACCAGTGACTTGAAAAAGATACTATTAGGTGCTATGGACTGAATGTTTGTGTTGCCACAAATTTATATGTTGAAGCCCTAATCCGAATGTGATGGCATTTGGAGGTGGAAGGGGATTACATCATAAAGGCAGAACCCTCATGAAGGGGATTAATACCATTAATAGGTAATGGGAAGACAGAAAGGTTGGAAGAGAAGGAGGAAGGTATTAAAAAAAAAAGTGGGGGGGTGCGCCTGGGTGGCTCAGTCGGTTAAGCGTCCGACTTCGGCTCAGGTCATGATCTCACAGTTTGTAGGTTCGAGCCCCGCGTCGGACTCTGTGCTGAGTCAGATCCTGGAACCTGTTTTGGATTCTGTGTCTCCCTCTCTCTCTGCCCCTCCCCTGTTCATGCTCTGTCTCTGTCTCAAGAATAAATAAACATTAAAAAGAATTTTTTAAAAAAGGAGAAACAGATGGGGTGAAGAATCAATGAAATCAGCTCAATTTTAGACTCGATTTTAATTTCACATTTTTTAAATCAACTGAAATTGATTTTGTGTGGCCCATCTATGTACATATATATAAAAAGAGGCCAGAGAAGCAACCAGCTCTCATTCTGCCACATGAGTATACCATGAAAAGTTGGCTGTCTGCAACCCAGAGGAGGACCCTTACTAAAAGCTGATCATGCCGACACCCCGATCTTAGACTTCTGGCCCCCAGAATGTGAGAAATAGATTTCTGTTGTTTGTAAGCCACCTGGTATGTGGTACTTCATTATAGCAGCCTAAAGAAACTAAGTTATTAGGTTAAAAAAAAACTTACAGTACAATCACATTCTTGTCAAACATTTATCGATCTGTATGTTCATCTAGTAGCCAAATATTTATTGAGCATTTAATAACTGACAAGCCCTTTTTTGGTAAAAGAGACTATAATAGTGAACTAAAAATTAGACAAACTTCTGCCTTCATGGGGTCCACAGTCTACTACTGGTGACTGGTTATGACTAATTGAGTTTAATATCCCAACTGGGATGCCGGAGAGGAAGGGGGTAATGAGAGCTTGCAATGGTAGGATTTGATCCAATCAGGAAGGGCAGGGAAGTTTCCTAAGGAAACTGCATTTTAGCAGAGACAGAAAAATAAGTAGGCTTTGACCGTGTGAGAGGGAAGCATATGGGAAGCAGTGCACATAATGGTTAAGCAAATTGAGGCTGGAGTGAGCCGGGTGCTGTCTCAAAGCTCACCTTACCACCCACAGAATCCCAGTCATGATTCGGGACCTGCCACTCAATTTCTCCATAGCAGTGACCTCACCTGTAAAATGGACGTAACAGATTTCCTTATATAATATGATTGTTACGAGAGTCAAAATAGACAAAATGAAAAGAGCTTAGCATGGTGCCCAATGTTCGGAATATATTTAATAAATGCTAGAGAATACCAAAGTTGACGGGGGCGGGGGGGGGGGGGGGGGAGGACAAAGAATGAAGACCCAAGTGCAAAGAGGGAATAGGGTATGCAAAGTCCCTGGGGCAGCATGATGACAAACACAGGGCTTCGTTCCCTGTTGGAAATCCTCCTTTTATTCTGAAAGCTGCTGGAAACCATTGAAGGATTTAAGCAGCGGGCACTCCAGGGTCTCCATCATTTTCCCTCTCAAGCGTAGTGCTACATACAGCCCCACCTGCCCACCTTTGCACATGCTGGTTCCTCGTCACAGACTGTTCTTTCCACTTGTCTTCTCCTACTTGCTTCAGATTTCAGGCTAAGTGCCACTTCTTCAGAGAAGCCTGACCCCAACCAGCCAAACCCTTGTTAATAGCTCCCCTAGAGTGCAAGCTCGCTTTGCCTGATTGAGGTCTGTCTCCCCTACCTACATCTCCAGAGACGAGGCACTGTCAGTTACTGTGCCTCATTGTGTCCCCTACCATTAGCACGGCGGTTGGCCTCTAGTAGATGTTGATTTCATAGTAGGTAATGGGAAGACAGAAAGGTTGGAAGAGAAGGAGGAAGGTAACAAAAAAAAAAAGTTGGGGGGGGGGAACGCCTGGGTGGCTCAGTCGGTTAAGCATCCGACTTCGGCTCAGGTCATGATCTCACAGTTTGTAGGTTCGAGCCCCGCATCAGACTCTGTGCTGAGTCAGAGCCTGGAGCCTGTTTCAGATTCTGTGTCTCCCTCTCTCTCTGCCCCTCCCCTGTTCACGCTCT